AGATGTAACTTTTAGCAGCAGCAGCAGATAGGAGTCTGACACTGACTGAGAATGGTAATGAGACAGAATTCAAAGAGTCGGCCCTCTGAGATATATAACACAATGAGATAAGATAAGTGGCTTACACAGGACAGTAGGCTGGAATGGAAAGGACTGCTAAGAGCTTGAGTTCTAATTATATCTATTCACAACCCTCCAATCATTAATACTGTACCTCCCTCGGCGACCTGCCAAGAACTGGGACAGACACGTTTCCTGAACTTTACCCAAGCACCCTAAAGGCCTATTACAATGAGCTGCTCTTTAACCATGGTGCAGCCCTTTGAAAGAGAACCTGGGCTCAGACAGCATCTCCAGCGCAATAAGCGCTCAGAGGAGGGAGACGTGGAGGGTCTTTATTCGGTGGTGATGTAGGAATATGAGTAGCCCCTGGCTGTCCACTGGTGGCATTCTGCCACGCTGGGCAGTCACAGATACGTCCAGACACAATGAACACAGGCATCGCACTTCACCATCAGGCCAAGCCAAGAACACTGCACCCCAGGAGACGATTAACAAGATTCTGTGTTTGGTTTCTGTGTGGGCTGAAACTATCCAGTGTATTAAGATACCTACCAGAACCTCTGACTGGGAGGATGCTGAGTACACAGATCACGCACTACCTGGAGGCAGCCTGGCACCTTTCTGGATGAGACTTTGGTCAGAAATACATCAGACGCCCTGACGGATGACACCACCTGCTCCTCAGTCATCCCGGGAGAATCCAGCATGACCCTCATTGAGCAGTACACACACACTGCAGCATGAATGAAACCACGATCCATTTTAACGGGTGCGTAACCCACCAACATTATTAGTCGTAACAAAAAGTTGTAATGCAATAGAGCAATTTCATTTCATGTTCACATAACGAGAAACGAAACCTGCTGATTGCAGTATTCCCAAAGAGAATACAGAACACTTTATCTTACATCTCACTGATTACAATAAAACTCATTACAAAGTACAAAACAGTCTATTTTTAAGTAAAACAGAAAGCAGTGTGGTGAAACCAAAATGTTCTATCTGATGTCTTATTGATTTACAGATCAGTGACTTCTTTCATACCCTGATTCTTTCAAGATCAAACTAATTAATCAAAAGAAGAAAGGAACAGAAAACTGACGTGTTTTCCCAAACAAGCATCCCAGAGAGTTCTGGCTTTGTAAAGGTGCAACAATTTCTACCCTAAAGGCTTCCCCACTTTTCAGCCCCTCCCTCTCCCTTTTGGAAACAAGGAATGTCTGACTGGGGTGTTCTGAATTTGGTGACAAAGCACCGTACATTTATATCACAGGACTGTAATTCTTCAAGGATTGCTGAAAGGTTGTATACTGAAAATTTTTGATTTCACCCAAGAAAGCTGACGCAGTACGATCCCTGGTTCTTCCAGCAGCTGTCCAGTCCTCTCCAATGCAATTTCAGAAACTCTCTTTGAGACAAAACTAATGACAAACTCTTGAGTCCTGAGATAACCATGTACAAAAGAGCAATGTGAGATGAACTATCCCAGTGCTTTGCAGTCTGCTCTGAGGAGTTCACTTTACAAACTCCACCATGGGTCATTGGGCGGGAATTAAGTGGTGCACTGGCCTCAGGCTGCCCCTTTGCCTGGGGCTTGTTCCATCAGTGGAAGCTGCCTGCATGCATTCAAGGGCAGAGCTGGGCCGATATCATTTCACAGCGAGGGACCTGAGACTGCAGTTTTTACTGAGAATGAGCATTAAACCCCCACCCGAGACTAGGTCTGTACATTAAAGGCTGTTCTATTTGGCGGGGGTCTGCTATGGCTCATCACCATAACAGCTGAGCGCCTCACAATCTTTAATGGATTTTATCCTCACAAGACCCTGCCGCTCCCTATAGTACAGATGGGAACTGAGGCACAGAAAGATTAAGTGACTTGCCCACGGTCAGACAGGAAGTCTGGCAGAATTGGGAACTGACCCCGGGTTTCTGAAGTCCCAGGCTAGTGCTCTGATCCCCAGACCATCCTTCCTTCCCTATTCAGAAGGGAGAAGGGCTTGAAGTGTCCGATCATGGTCAGGAACATGTTTCTTTCAGTTCTTCCCTCTGAGCTGCATTTGTATTAGATGCCTCAAACTTCCTGATACATAAACTCAATACAAAAAGGAGAGATGCCATGGGCCTAATTCTCTGTCCTTCCAAGACCCTTCATGGTGCTGGGCTTAAAGCGACCGTCGGGCAGGAAATGAGGACTCTTCAACTACTGGAGATGTCTTGGATAGCACAGGGTAGGGGTGGGGACCCAGGGTGTGCTGGGCTCTGGAGATCCCAGCTAGTGGAGTGGGAAAAGGGAAGCTGTTTCACTTTTTGCCGGGGCCGGTCCACCCACCAGCACCCCCATGGTCAGTGGCTTGGAGTCACTGAAGCCCCAGCCCGTCTCCAGGTGTGCGGGGCACACCTCTGGCACGCTGTGGATCTGGCCCATCGTTATAAGCCAGGACGTGCCTGATCTCTCTGCACTGGTGAGGTTTAGCGCGGTATTTGCTGTAGCTAAGCACTCAGAGGCAGGCTCTAGCCACGCATGGGTCGTGACCCCAAACTGGAATGTGTCAAAGGGTCCCCTGGAAGCCGGGAAGTTGGGTCCTGCCCCCAGAGGGGTGGGAGGACATGGGCTGGGGGGTTGCAGGGCCTGCTCTCCGCTGGCGGCTCCTGTAGCTCCGGTCCTGCAGGGCAGGCTGGGCTCAGCTCCCCACTCCAGGGGGTCACGGTGCTGCTCAGATTTGACCCAGGCATCCTCTGTCGTGATGATGGGGGGGGGGAGCCAGGCCAGACTTGGTCTCTATCAGCTGTTTAGTGTTAAAGTTTTAATCTCCAAACAATTAAAGTTTTAATTTCCTGCTTAAACTTTTACGACTAAGCAATTAGCCGTGGAAGTTTCAAATGCTAAGCACTTGGCTGCATTCCAGAACCAGGAAGGGGCAGAGACGCTCCCAGTCTGGTGCGTAGGCACCCACGGCAGATGGCAGACCTGCTAATCATTATTTTTTTTTTAATTAGATGCTCTCATGCCCTGTGACACATGAGGCAACCGAGGTTGTCCACGTCCGTCTGTCGAGGGCCACGTTCCTTGCTCCATTACAGTCTATTTCCGTGACAGCAACACGGTATTTGTATACGTCATCTGTTGTCCGCCTCTTTTCTGTCTTCCACCAGGTCTAAAGCTTGTCCAAGAATACATTTTGCCTGAGGCATCCTAAGCTACCAGCGTGTCCCTCAGGTGGCGGATGAGGGAACCCCATACACAGTATGGGCTGTTCCAAATGTATTGAATAAGGAGCCATGGACCTATGGGGTAGCGTGTCAGGCTAACCACTCACCCACATGAAAAAAAGACACAGCTATGGAAACCCCTCTGAAATCTGCTAAGATCTAGCAGAACAGGGCTCCTTTCCTCCAGGCCTTAGCAGAGGGAGGTGAGTGACCTGGGTGGAGGCATGGAAGGAGTTGGTTTGGATCTGGATCGGATTCTGTGCTGCCTTGATGCTATAATCACATGTTCATACAAGGCCTGTTGCTACAAGCCCACAGAAAACGTACAGTACAAAAAATTAAAAACTCCTAATAATCTTTGTACTTACTTGTAAAAAGCTTGGTTTTCTATCCCACATTTCCAGAGATGCTTGCACGCTTCTGGTGTTGGAGCAAAATAAGTAAGAGCAATTTTCTTTTCCTACAAAAAATTCCACATGGAAACAACTGAGTGTGGTTAGCAGGTGGCATATTTACAATCTGCAGGGCAGCTGAAACTAAAGCAGCTCATTTATTACACAGCAAACCTTCAAGACTCACCACAATACATGGAAACATGTATCTGACTGACTGATCCTACTGGAAATATGTCTGATTTCCACTGGTAAAGACCCAATTAACTGATGCTTGGTTCATCCATATTCCTGTGTATCCAAAAATATATATTTTAAAAATTCACAGGGATTAGCTAACTCTCTCTCATGTGCTGTACCGTACTTAACCCATTTCAAAATCGAAGTGTGCACACTCATTTAGATAATCAGGTCCGACTGGGGTGGGCAGGGCTAACATGTGGCCCTCAGAAATAACACCCCCGAAATGCAGTGTGAAGCCCTGCCCTGAGCAGATGATATAGATATTGAACTGGATGCCCTCCAAGAGATACCTGAATGTTCTGACCCTTGTATATGTAAGCAGAGTCAGGATGAGCTCTACCCTGACATCTGGTGGCGAATTGTGGCAAGTTGCGGAAAAGAACTTCAGGGGCTGATTTTGTTTGCATAGGCACACCCACCCCGCCTAGCATGAGCCCACAGCAGCCCAAATGGTCACTTTGGCTGCTGTGGGATCCCCAGTTTCTCTATTATTGGGGCAGGAAGAATAAAGTGTTTTTACCCTGATTATGTGAATCAAGGACAGTGGAACTGTTTTATGACGGAGCGACTCACCATCAACTAAGTAGCACTCACTAGACAAGGGACATGGGTTCCAAAACCTAGTGAATTGAGAGAGGCTGGGGACAGGTATAACTTAGATAATTTTTTCACTTCAAGGTCCAAGAGATACAGACAAGATTTTCATCTCAAGCCCAAAAGACCAAAAACATCAAGATACTTGGATAGCCAAGAGACTACTTACACTTGATCTTAGCTCATAGAGCCAAGAAGCGATATACTTGGTGGCATGGGCCTCTGGTGAGGGCCCTAAATGCCAATTGCACCTTCTCCTCTCTCCACTGTGGAATATCAGAGCTAGTTTTGATTCCATTAGGAGTCTAGTCACAGAATGCTGAGCTGAATTCACTTTGGGCCAATGGTGCACCAGCACTGAGGCTCCCTTACTACAAGCTGAAATCACGAAAGAGCTAAAATTACTAAGAGCTGAAATCACTGAGTGCTGTGTTAAGTAGTGGGGGCGGGGGCTGAAGATATATTGCCAGATGGCTGGAGCAGCTCACCGGACAGCTGGTGGAGAGAAGCAGTTTGTGGGACAGCTGGCAGAGCAGAGTGGAGGCCCATGGAGAGGCGGAGCAGTCAGCTTTGGACCATGTAAGGTGCCCCTTAACCCCCCCCCCATTTCCACCCAGCCTGGGAGGTAAAACTCTGCAGATAAACGTTCAAACTCTGGGGCTGCACTGACCATGGGCAGAGACTGTTGGGTTGTTGTACTTTTGGGACTTTGGGTGACTTTTGGTTTGCTGGACTCAAGAACCCAAGGGAAAGGACACAGCCCAATTTGCTTGGGGTGGGTTTTTGCTCATGGTTTGTGTTAGGAATCCTGTTGGTGGTGTCTCCCCAACATAATGCCACATTGTTTCTCTCTGTTATTAAAAGGCTTTTGCTACACTCAGACTATGTGCTTGCGAGAGGGGAAGTATTCCCTCTTGGAGGCGCCCAGGGGTGGCGGTGGTGGTATATATTTGTCACTGGGTGGGGGCTCGAGCCGGTTTTGCACGGTGTTATTGGACTGGATCCCCTCGATACTGAACCCGGCCCTTGTTGCTGCCGACTCTGACGGGCAGGAGGGCTACACACAGATGCCCGACCACTGGACTGCACTGGTTTGGGACCCGGAATGCCTACACCTGAATGTCAGAGGGCTGCCGTTGGTCTCAAAGGCCACTTCGTTTGCCACTGCCAGATCTGTGTATATTTTTTAAATACGTGTCATAACCTTCATTTCTATTTTGTAAGTAAGGGCTGGATCCTGCTTTCCTTGGAGCCAACAGAGATCAGACCTTAACTGTGTGATTACAGGAGAAGGCTGCAAAAGCAGGAATAAAGTAGTTATTACTTAGTCCTGCATGGAGTGCAGGGGACTGGACTAGATGACCTACTGAGGTCCCTTCCAGTCCTACGCTTCTCTGATTCTAGGATTAAATGCAGCGTCGTAGGTCGGTAACAGACTTCTGGAGCTGTGTTTATTTTTTTCTACCAGGCACAATAGCAAATGTTTAATATTTGAGGCAGAAGTAAAGACTGTACCTAGTGAGCCCTGACATGATGAGAAAATCCACTCACCTCTTTCTGACTTACATATAAACAGAATGTCTTTCCTTCGAATTTCATTTTGGCTACCTCGTTCCTAAAATTACAAAACCACATATGTAACAGACATGTTGCTTATCACCCATATCACTGTCATTAATGCAGAACCCACACACAGTGGAATTGGATCCGGTAATATGCACAAATTAAGCCAAATTGTTTGTATGAAACGCAAAGTTAATCAATAGACTATTTTCAGAACAGTAGTTGGAACAGCCTCAAAGCCATATTTTTCAGTTCGTCTGAAGTGTAACATAGTGACAAGAGGACTCCTGGCTCAAAGACAGTGGCTGGAAAGGGGAACGTCTCGGGATGGAATGTGACTCGCAGGGGAACGTCCAGGAGTCGTCTGAGAACTTTGCTTATATATGTGCATTATCTGGATGAAAATATCAAATGTAAGATACCACACTGAGCTGATGAGGCCAAAATTTGAGATACAGCGAAGAATGAGGAACAATGCAACCAGATTCAGAGGGTCTGGGGGGTCTTTCAGGTGACTGGGCCAATACATGGACAATGTAGTTTAATGTAGACAAATGTAAAAAATAATAAGTCTGGGGCAACAAACCAAATATAGAGAGTACATATTACATGGAACAGTCATGCAGCGTACTGACCGGGAAAGGGGTTTAGGGGTTATTGTAGAAAAATCCTTGAAGCCATCAGCCCAGTGTGTGGCTGCAGTAAAAAAGGCAAACAGGATACTGGGATGCATCAACAGTGGGATAGAATACAAAGCAAGAGAAGTGATACTGTAACTGTACATTGCATGGGTTAGATCTTAGCTAGAACACTGCGTTTGGTTTTAGTCACCCTTTCAAAGGAAAACACCATTGCCCTGGAGAGGGCAGAGTTCAGAACGCCTAGAGTTAACCTACTGGCAGCATTTAAGAGGACTTTCTCTTTTTCTGCAGCAGAAATATCCATCTGCCAAGAGACTTCCTCCGTTTAACAGATACTGTGCGTACCTGTGAGATACGTGGTGTTTGCATTTACATTGCATTTTCATTTCTGTTTATGGCATTTTCCAGACTGCTTACCAATTAATGCTTAAGAGCATGAATATTCTGTGTTTGTGACACACTTCCAGTGGTTCATGCAACAGGCCAACCAGGCAAAATGTACCCTTTGCACCAGCAAATCTGCTTCTGTGCACAACCCGGGTAGCTGCATGTCTAACCAGGCATTCACAAACCTCATTACCAGGATTTGTGTATGCAGTCGTCTGTCTACACATGCTACGTAGGGCTTTGCAAATACAGAAAATACGCATGCAATTTGTGGGAGTCATCAACTGCTGGCATCTTTAAAAACCCACAGGTGCACACTACATGAACCCAATCCTGCATCCACAATGCCCATTGAAATCAATGGAAATGCTCGATGTGCAAGAAATGCAGGATAAGCCCTATAGATCTCTAGAGTATCTAAAGGGTTAAGCTGGCAAGAAGCCCCATTTTTGAGACCAGCCACAGTGTAAGCTCACTGCCATCACCAACACTGGGCAGCTCTGCAGAAAGATTTTAACCAAATATGATGATCCCACATTTTAAGAAAAGTTCTCATAAAGGAAAGGCTAAAAAGACTGAGCCTGTTTTCGTTAACGAACAGTCACGGTCAGGGTGCCCTGAAGTGCCCCAGCTCTCTCCAGTAAGATTAACCAGTTTAACCCACACAATGTTAAACCAGTTCAAGCTAATTCCTGGCCAGGGTACATGGAGCCAATGCGGGTTTAAATAAAGTTGGGGCACAACAATTTAGCCTCTGTCTAGTCACAGTTTGGCCCCATTCATGCACAGTGGCCAAACCATCTCTAAGCTTAATTAGCTGAAACCCGTTTAAAACAATGCTTTGAATCAGTTCTTCAAACATGGTTTCAGCTGTGGGGCCAAAGTGGAACAGAATAAACTCCTCACCCTAAAGGGAGAGACAATCTAAAAGGAATTTACAACTAACAGTTAATTGGCAAATTCGTTTCACTTTGATTCCCATGTCCTGTCCTCACATGCCCCGTGTATTATGGCATATATAGGCGAGCTGCTGTGTACCATACACTAAAATATGCAGTTACTCTGGGCAGGGGAAACACTTGTATATTTCCCCTTGCAGGGGGATGAAAAAAGCAAGTTACACAAACTCTCCTTTTGGGGAGAGGAGGAGGCAGGTGAAAGGGGGAAGCAAAACCTGCCAGAAAAAGATGTGCCCAGATCCCAAGCTGAACACATGCTGAGCATGAGTCCCACACAGTCAGACCCCATCACATAATTATTATTAACCATCCAGGCACCTTCGAATAATCCCATAACCATAGACCCATGCCATGTTCATAAATAGATCAACCAAGCCTCCTACTCTGCCACCAGTTGATTGATGCAGCTGACGAACAGTTACTATGATCTTTGCACAAGACAGAGAATGGGGAAGGGAGATTCTGAAAGCGTCGAGGAAATGCACACTATCCAGTGCTCAACTGTAATTTACAGCAGAATTTAGCCTCCTCCATTTAAAGGAAACATGTTGCAATAGGCTCCCTATTAGATTTATTGTTCCTTTTAAATCATGTGAATTTGTAATCACTGAAGAGGCCGTACTGAGCCTCAGTAAAACAGCATGACATTATTATTAAGAAATATACTCTGATTTTATAAATACACGAAATAAGAGGGCAGTAAGAACGATATCAAGCACGTCCCATGTGCAAAGTGCTGCGTGAACATGGCCAACTCACCATCATGCTGCAGAGCTGTCTGGTCACCACTGGAACACCTTGCAGTTAGTTCATCGCATGAGCAGTCAGGAATCATGCACAAAATACTAGTGCAATCGGGCTAACGTGCGCTGGGGTTTATGGATGTGAGGAGATGATCTTTGTTCCTGGTGAGATTCTGTTTGGCAGCATCCCAAATGTGTTTCTCTTTCTTTCATGTGTATGGTGTGAAATTCACCCCAGCCAGGAAAATCCCAGGAGGTACCTATCTCCATCCTTAAGTTACTCCATGCCTTCAGAAATCTGCCTCTTCAGCCCCAGTTCAATTGCCCAGCAAAGGACAAACCTTCTCCCCAGCAGGAGTCGCTCATCTGGCCACTAAGGAGTCTATGCCGGGGCAAGCAGGAAGAATTCCTCTTCCCCAACACTAGATTCTCACTTGGTTTGGGAATGCACCAGAGGCCCTGGCATAGCAGCAAATCCTCTGGCCCATTACAGGGGACTCTGCTCCCTCTCAGCTGCATTCTAAAACCCTGCTCAGCCGGCCAAATGCACAATGGAAATGCATCAGTTCTGCTACCCAGGCTGCAAAGAGAAATGCAGGATTTCCTCTAAGGTCCTAGAGGAGGCTGCTGCCAGTGATACAAAGGGCAGGACCTCTGCCCTGAGGGGAATTTAGCCCACTGCACATATTGAGGGTGCAGAAACATGGATTCATTTACACTGTGGATGAGGTGGAAAGTAGGTACCTGTATATGGAACTGGCTGTAAACTGTCCCCTGATATAAACACCTTCCACAGGCTGTTACAAAGCTGCGCATCTCACATATCAAATGGGCAGAATAGGCCAACTGATGAGATGCCAGGGTCAAGACACACAAGTTTGTGCCTGTGATTGGAGATGACCCAGAGAATATTTAAAAAATGGGACAGTGTCTATCAGGCCATCAAAGCAGAAAGTACAGTGGTGTATGAGACAGACATTTCATGGGAAGAAACATCAAGGGGTTGAGAGAGAAAGCAGGAAGGTGGCAGTGAGACAAGCTTAAGGGTCTCTGACAAGCAGTCTAGGCCCAAAATGTGACCTCCCTCACTCAAGAGACAGCCCAATCTCCATGACTACTGCAGGACAAGCCACCCCTCAAACCTTCATCGGTGAGAAAGGAGGAGAGGTCTTTTTGTTCTCTTCCTAGTTATCGACACACTCAAAGACCTGTGGCTTGTTACTGTGCTTGGAGTGAACATGCAACTAACGCTCATGACCTGTCCACACCCGCCGACTAACCCTTCACATAAGGGGGTCTTGGAGACAGTCAGCTCTCAGTGACACTGTGGTAAAGCTGGAGTGACTCCAGATTTAAAAGGAGTTATTCTAATTGACATAAGTATTATTGAGATTGGAATCTGGCTCAATTAATATAAATATTTCTAAATACGTTTTTAACAAATGAAATTGCTAGCAACAGTTAACCCGGGGGTAACATCCTTATGGGCACAGGACTATCCTCACACAGCACTGATGGTCTTGTTTTGCTCCTCCAACCATCCCGAACTAGCCTCTCTCTTCTTTTTCCCAACAGGGAATTCCAACCACTATTCTTGGCAATAACAATGTAAGAACATCAGAATGGCCAGACTGGGTCAGACCCAAGGTCCATCCAGCCCAGTGTCCTGTCTGCCGACAGTGGCCAGCACCAGGTGCCCCAGAGGGAATGAAAAGAACAGGGAATCATTGAGTGATCCATCCCCTGCTGTCCAGTCCCAGCTTCTGGCAGTCAGAGGCTTACGGACACCCAAAGCAATTCCACTTGTCAGTGCCGTTTGTTGGACTAGTAGCTTTTATACTCCCCAGTGAATTTTAACGTCTTCACAGAAGACGCTGTGAATGGGATTTTCAAATGCACTTGGTATTAGCTTAACTCCGCTTCCATTTTCGTCAGTAGGAGTTTTCCCACTGATGCCAACAGGAGGGAAGTTAGGTCAATGCAGAGCTCTTTTCAAAATCTAACCCTACCGCTCAAGTAGCACGCCTACTATTTATCACATGCCACGGCTATATTGGCGGAAACACAGCTAGTGCTATGCTTTATCCTCGTCCTTTGGATATATTTCTTATTGTTGCAATCAAGAGAAATAATATAGTGAGTTACCAGCGCTTGATAAAAGCATCTTAAACAAACAAACACTAGAACGGGCTGAAATTGGGGGAACTCACCATTTGATGAAGTGAATTCTCTTGTTTCCCTGCAGAACAACAAAACCAAAGGGAGTGAAGGCCAAAAATGCCGCATTTCCTGACACATCCTGCAACACAAGAAGATCTCATCAAAACGCTGCAGCGCCAGCAAAGTTTACACGTCAATAGCAACACTCAGTCCTGAATACGGTGGGGTAATGAATCTTCCCTCTTAAATTACGCCAACAGAACAGTTCCTGGCAGCCTTATCTAGACCGTGACATCCTGCCTATAGACGGGAATCTGCAGGAGCACAAAAAACACGACTCGCCCAGCAGAATATACAATACAACTCTCGGACCTGTGGGACTACTGATTTACTGTCTAGCGCTAACCAAGGAAGAAAGCTCCCACGTATCACCGAGTCTCTTTCTTAAACCTGAAAACCTTAAATTGTTAGTTGCACAGATCTGAGCAGCACGTACAAAAGGTCCAGCTGGCCAGAATCAAGACATTTTTAAAAGCAGTGACTAGTGTCATGGACAGTGCGAGTCAGCAGTTTAATTTAATCATAATGTTTAGGCTCTAGTGAAGGGAACATTAATTGTCTTGGCACTTGTGGAAAAAAACATGCGTCGATTTTTTAAAATATTACGCGCAGCAGTGGGCGCTGTGTAGGTAAGACTGGAGGTTTCTTTCTTTTATAAACTGGATTTTCAACCCACGCCCTAGCCTAAGTTCCCTGGCGCAGCAGGCTATTAAGGGCCGCGCAGGCTCGCAGCGGAGAGAAATGCCTCTCCCCCAGCCCCACCGGAGCTGCTGCGGCACGGAAAGGCACCTCTCCCCTAGCCCCGGGCTGCTGCAGCGAGAGAGGGCTGGGGGGGAGTCCTCTCTCCCCACCACAACCCCGGGGCAGCCTGCACCCCAAATCTCTCATCCACGGCCCCACCTCAGAGCCCGCACCTCCAGCCAGAGCCCTCACACCCCCCCCCGCACCCCAACCCTCTGCTCTAGCCCGGAGCCCCCTCCCACACCACAACCTCCCCCATCCCCGGCCCCACCCCAAAGCCCACAGCCCCCTGCACTCCAACCCTCTGCCCCAGCCGAGCCCCCTCCCACACTCTGAACCCTTCAGCCCCACCCCCGCCACTCATCACCTCCATATGGGTGCACATAACAAAATTCATTCCGCACATGGGCGTAAAAAGTCAAAGGGAACATTGGCCCTAATTTCTTTAAAAAGACCCTCATCTGACTGTAATTTTGTATGCCGCACGTCATCTCAAGGTACAGGCTTGCTGGGAAGTTTGGTAAAAATCAGACAGAGTTTTGAAGCTGGTGTTCTGGAACGTTCTGAACACGCGGCTCTAGTTCCCTTCTTTTCTAGTATGTGACCACATTTCTTGGTTCAGAGAAATACGACGTGGCCTTAATGGAAGGCAGAATCTAACCCAGTGAGGTGCTTCTGCGTACAACAGACGGACTGAATTATCAGCATTCAAAATGTTCCCTATATGTTTCCTCATCTGACAATGATCACAGTATGAACCACCACATCGTCTGTCATTCATGATCATTAAGGCTGCAATTTAGTCATGGATTCCGTGACTTCCAAACACCTCAGTGACTCCAGCCAGCGCCGGCTGGGAGATGTGGGGAACCCCACAGCTCCTGGCCACAGCGGGCGGCAGGGAGGATCCCCACCACTGCCAGCCACCATGGGCAGCAGGGGCACCCCCATAGCTCCCGCTTCTCCTGGCCGCTGCAGGGGGCAGGGGGGACCCCCGCAGCTCTCAGGTGCCACAGGTGAGATCCCTGCTGCTCCCGCCACTCCTGGCAGCTGCAGGAGGCAGGGGGAACCCCCTCTGCTTGGAACTGCCAGCGGAGGGGGACCCTGAAGCTCCCAGCCCCGCCGCAGCTGCCCAAACCCCCCATTTTGTCACAGATATTTTTAGTAAAAGTCAGGGGCAGGGAATGGGCTTCTGTGAATTTTTCATTCTTGCCTGTGACCTGTCCGTGACTGTTACTAAAAATATCTGTGACAAAACCTTAGCATTAGTGATTATGAATGCTGACAGATGTAGGCAGGCAGAGGTAGGTCCCAGTTTTTGTTGTTTAGGCTGCTGGTATGGAATAGAAATGGAGGGACTAGAAATGGCGGGTTAGCAGAGAGAAATGCTGAGAATAGGAATCTGGGGGAAAGGAGTTTGTGGAGGAGTTTAAAGGAGTGGAATTTCTGATGATCTGTGTGAATTACAGACAGTCCTGATGTTTCTGACACATTGAAATAGCTCATAATAGTGCTGTCACCGTGCGAATGCTCTGACAAAGAAGGAGCTGCCCTGTACACGTCTGAGCGCCGTGTGTTGGCCTGGCTAGTGGGATGGGGTTTGCTGTACAAATTCATTTGGGGGGTGGGGGTCTGTCTGGATACAGACAGAAAGGAGAAGAATAGCTCCAGATAGCCACCTAACAATGGCCAGAACTATTCGCTTTGATGGCTCTGTCTCCATCTCTGGCCAGTCTCCGAGACAGGCCCAGCCAGGGACTACCCAGGCCCTGCAAACACAGGAAAGCAAAGAACTCAGGTGGGTTTTACAAGGAGCACATCTGACTGCTCAAACGCCATGTCACACTAGCAGAAAATGTATGGCACTCTAACGACACCAGCTAATGCACCCCTGGGATAAGTTGGCTTTGAAATCTTTAGATCTAATTAAATAAATAGCATATAATTTATTCAGTGCATAACCAACAACTTATTATCTCAGCAAACAACGAGGGGCGAATGTTAAGATTGGACCGGGGGTGTAACTAGCCATCTTCTGAGATGTCATGAGCTGTAACCTCTATTTCCATCCAACGCAGAAGAGGATTTCTCTATCCTCAGCTGCAGCAGCTGAATATTTGCAAAAGCTCCCAAATTAGAGGCTCTATCGTTCCACCTCTTCAAGCCCCAGGCATTTACTGATGCTATAGGACGTCATGGTTACATTAGGAGGGTCGCATCTGGTTTTTAGACATGTTACTTAAAACATGACCGTTCCTTTGGCGTATTTAAGAACTATCAGGCAACTGCTAGAGAGACAAGGTAGATGAGGTAACACACAGACCTCAAAAGCTGGTACCTTCCTGCAAAGGAAGCTGCTCCAATGAAAGATATGACCTCACCACCTGGTCTCTCTAATGTCCTGGGACCGACAGGGCTGCACACTGCACCTGGAGACAGCCATCTGTGAAAGCCCCGGGTGTAAAACATGTACACCAAGGATCCATGAAGGGGAAAAAATTAATAGTTGCCAATATACCACCACTCAGATCCGACTCCGTTGGCCAATACCACTTTCTTTAAATGCAAAATCAAAATCAAAGCTACTTTTTAAAATTCTGCATAAGAGTGTAGTTGTTAACTCAAAAGAGGCCCAGAGCCCTTTAATTGCTGAATGAGAGCAGGCAGCTGCTGACAGCTCCTTGGTGACAGTTTACCCTGACATTGTAACTGCTACCAAATATCCACGGATCTCTGTTTGGGATCTCGGCAGCACAGGAACTTAAAAGAAGGCGCAGACTTTCCTTTGGCTTCAAATCTACACCACAGCAAGTGAGAGAGGACCATCACCATGCCTTCACCCGAGCTACTCCTCTTACACCACACTACACTGTTACCCCTTCTTGACACAGCTGAGACTTTTGCGGGCTAGCCGTGCTCACAGATGGGTTATCCTGCCATCCGCTGGCGTCTTTCACTCATTGCAAGACAATGTCAGAGACGGGCCTATGGATCTCCTCGCCCTGGAACCTGGGGGAGCTCGGAATCTGGATCTGAATTTTTGGCCTTACTACAAAACCTCATAACCACGTATAATCAGCAATTACTGCAGCTGTCACTAAGCTCTCACTTTTTTAATATCAAACCTGGAAGGCCTCCTATTGGCACACAGTGCATAGAAATGAAGCCATTTTTCACTCTAATCAAAAAGCTCTCAATGGACAGTACTAATTGCTTCTTGAAATCGCGGGCAGGCTTCAGCGCAAGACAATCCTTGTGCCAAGCTCAGAGAGAGATGGTGCTATTGGGGTGAAAGTTGGACAAAAGATGATCATGATTGCAGCATTATAGGCTCATATAGGCACTGTGTGGTCCAGCTATTTAGGGCATTATTTTTTATTGGACAGATCACCTCTAAATGCCTCTACAAACAAGAGCTTCAGAGTGTAATTAGAGAACGGCACAGTGCCATGGGGCGACCTCAGGCAAATAACACAGTGGGTTTGAGAACAGCTGACAATCCCTCACAAAAATCCCAGACACTGTGGCATATGATCATTAAAGGCCATATGATCCCCAACACAGGACAAACCCACATGGGAGCAGGGAACATCATGAGTCTCCGGCGCACTGGTTCATTGGCAGGGCTGTGTATACCGCCCCCCACATCCCTTGGTACACACGTGACCCTCATCACTGTTCTGTCCGAACCCTGATATCGCACCTAGGGTTGCCCCACGTTCCATAGAGCAGTGGTGCCCAACCTTGCCCCTCACGCCCCCCTTACCAGTAGTGGAATCTGTCCGTGCCCCCCGGTACTACACAGTTGGCTCAGCAGAGGAGCTTGGGCTGAAGACGAAGCTGGAGGCAGAACTGGGATGGGGAAGGAGCTAGGGCTAGAGGGAGAGTTGGCCTGGGGTGGAGATGGCACGAGGGCAGAGCTGGGCTGCGGGTGGAGCTGGTCTGCGGTGCAGCAGGGGGCGGCGTGGAGCTGCAGCTGGGGGCGGAGCTGGGCTGGGTGCAGCAGGGGGAGGGGTGGAGCTGGGCTGGGTGGAGCTGAGCTGGGTGCAGCAGGGGGCGGCGTGGTGCTGGGCTGGGGGCGGAGCTGGGCTGGATGGAGCATGGGGAGGGGTGGAGCTGCAGCTGGGGGCGGAGCTGGGCTGGGTGGAGCTGGACTGTGGTGCAGCAGGGGGCGGTGGGGGGGGGGGGTGGAGCTGGGCTGGGTGGAGCTGGGGGGGGGGGGGGGGGGGGGGGGTGGGGCGGAGCTGGGCTGGGTGGAGCATGGGGGAGGGGTGGAGCTGCAGTGGAAGGCGGAGCTGGGCTGGGCGGAGCTGGACTGTGGTGCAGCAGGGGGCAGCGTGGAGCTGGTCTGGGGGAGGAGCTGGGCTGGGTGGAGCAGGGAGAGGGGTGGAGCTGCAGCTGGGCTGGGCGGAGCAGGGGAGGGGTGGAGCTGCAGCTGGGGGCGGAGCTGGGCTGGGTGGAGCTGGACTGTGGTGCAGCAGGGGGCGGGGTGGAGCTGCAGTGGAAGGCGGAGCTGGGCTGGGCAGAGCTGGGCTGTGGTGCAGCAGGGGGCGGCGTGGTGCTGGGCTGGGGGCGGAGCTGGGCTGGGTGGAGCATGGGTAGGGGTGGAGCTGCAGTGGAAGGCGGAGCTGGGCTGGGCGGAGCTGGGCTGTGGTGCAGCAGGGGGCGGCGTGGTGCTGGGCTGGGGGCGGAGCTGGGCTGGGTGGAGCAGGGGGAGGGGTGGAGCTGCAGCTGGAGGTGGACCTGGGCTGGGTGGCACTCACTCCCTGCCCCCCGTGGAGGCTGGCCTGGGCCCTGCGCCCCTGAACAGTGCTCTGTGCCTCCCAAGAGGGGCGCACCCCACACTTTGGGGACCACTGCCACAGAGAAATTGTGAGGAGCATCACAGGAGCCTAAGCAGCTATGGACCCCCCACTGAGGGCTACTCATGAACAATCCTCCAGTATCGCTCCCCACAGCCCCCCCAGAGCCTGACCCCTGAGGATTAGGAGCAGAGGGTCTTCCAGGAGGTTAGGCCACAAAGCTGCGGCTCTCCCCCTGTGGCCAGTTTCTGGTGAGTTTGGCTACCTCCTGCTCAAAGAATGGGAACCTATAGGCCTCGCCCCCGTGCTCACTCTGAGTGCAACTCTGTAAATCTGGTTATTGTTAGTAATCGGGCTGGTGGTTCAGTGCTCCCCACCTCCCTTATCCAGTGA